CCGCCGAAAAGCGCGGCGCAGAGCACGATGAATCCGACGCAGCCCAGGACGACGTCCACACCGATGGGAATGTGTGGCCCGGATGACGAGGTGGTCGCGCCTTGCGCAGATGGATCAAGTGGCTGATGTAGCACGCGCACGTTGTGGAACTCCTCCAGTGCTTGAGTAATATTCGTCAGGCCGAGCAGACCAAGCTGTGGGTTGACTTGGAATTCGGCGGCAGCTGTGGAGTCATTAGACAGGAACTCGCCGCTTGATGACGGTGACTCATATGCCATCACGGTGTACGTGTTCCGCATGAAGGGCACGCCGAGAATAATATCGGGCAGGGTATCGTAATCGCTGCCTATCTCTTGATTGTTCTGGATCATGCCTGTGCACATGCTCGAGCCACTATTGGGCGGGTAGGTGAGGTCGAGAGGGTGTAGAGGAATGGGCAATCGATCGTCGAGGGTGATGGTCATGTTAATAGGAGTCGTGCAAGAGACATAATCTGGGATGTTCATGTCAACGCGACGGCATAGTCAACAAGGTAGGGACAAGACACACAATTTCCATCGGAGGAAGCAGTGATCCCAAGAGCAGCATATATGCTATTAGCGATGGACGCGGATGCTAAAATAACCGGCGTCCCCGAGTCGATCACAGCAGATGGGTAGGCTGCACCAGTGACAGATGGCCCAAGAGTTAGTTCAATGGGTTTATCGTTGACGTACACCGTGATGGCGCGCACACTTGCTTCCCAGTATACTGCGTCAGTTGGGTCAACCAAACCAGCGTATTGGATTTTGCTTGGATCTGATATCAATCCCGACGGATGCTGGCCGATTCCTAGGAGTGAGGGTATGGCCGCCGACCCAGGCCGCTCAAGGGCGAGGGAGAAGAACGGAGCCCCAGGTGTACCACTTGAGTTTGTTGAGCCGAATAAATTCGACGCGAACGTAGCCCCAGTTGGCGCGTTCGGATACCCCGGTGGTATTGACCGAGCAATGATCGAATCGGATGGTAGTGCGAGCCCAAGGATGCCACTATACTCACTTTCTAAAGGCTCTGAGGTGACCGACGATGCAGCGGCTATGTGACGTGGTAGTCGGGAATCACAGTAAAACTTAGCGGACAGAAACCAGCGACCAAGTAGCGGTATTATGCGTACCTAGTGCCTGGTCGGTGATGTTGTACCCTCCAAGCTCTACATAATCCCAGACAATAGGGCCGCTGACCTCGCCCTCTGCATAATTGATACTGAATGTCCCGGTACTAGGTTTTGAAGAGGAAGGGTTGTATAGGTGGCCATCGGTTTGGCGGCAGGACGACGAAGAGCATGAATTGGAAGCAATCCACTGTATATATGCATTAGGGCGCTCAGACCGACGGAATGCACATGCGCCTTACAAGGTCAGCTGAACCCGTGTCGACTTGTAATGATAGGTTCTGTCTGTCCCTGCCGACGAGGATGGGTAGAGTGTATACCCTGCACAACAAGGGTCAGTGAGAACGTAAGAACTACTACTTGTCCCGAGGGTACGTTTATGAATGGACATGCTGTACCCTTCCATGTGATCGAGGGAGCACTCACGATTGGTATGGGGAATCTGGGAGCAACTGGAGTGGGAGAACAGCCCCCGAGCTCCCACCACTCGTCTCGCGCTCAGAGATCTGCTGCTTCGCCTTGCCCTTCCACGCGCGTGTGCCGCGTGCAGTTGATGATGAGGCGCTCATTCCCGTCGAGCAGGGAGGTGGTGGCACGGAGAGTAGGAAGAGATGTCAAAGGGACTAGGATGTGGGTGATTTGAAGGAAAGACGGAGTGAAAGAGCGTCTAAGAAAACGGAACTGGACAGCATTCGTGAGAGCAGAACTGGACAGGCCCAGCTGCAGATGCGTTGACAGAGGACCGACCGTTTCTGCGCTAGCCAACCCCCGGCGCTCGTAATTAGACGCGCTCCGCCGTCTTCGGGATCGTGCTATCGAGTTTCAACCTCCTCAAGACTCTCAAGCAAGCGGGTCTCAACTCGTCCCTCGCTGCACTCGTCGTCTAAGAGAGTGAAATTTCTTGGATGGTTTTGCATACTTTGCATCAGTCCTTCGATTTCCTGCGGACGATTGAACGTACGTACTCGAAGCACACTCTGTACACGCGTCCGCCTGTGCTCACTCGTCGGCATGTCTTCACCGCTCATCTCAACCCTGCGTAATCCCCAGGGCGCATATAGGCTATCCCCGAGACATATCCCCTCTAGCAACCTGATGTCCGTTCGGCCAGCAAGGGGTCCGTGCATTCGGGTCGTGGCTTTCGTCTCGCATGAGTCTGCTAATTGCATTTTACAGCCATTCTACACAGGTGCTTTGCCAGAAATACGCCTTGGATGCAGCAGTTGGATCGCGAACACACAGTGGCCGGGCAAGGAGCCTCCTGTCCCCAGCCGTTTATCGTACAAGAAAGCGGTGCACCAGTCCTACTGGCAAGCGCCCTGTCCCGCATTCGACTCGACGAAGCCGATTTGCAGCCGGATCTGTCAGGTTCAGTGATGTCTAATAGCCACAATGCATGTGCATTCTGCATGCACGCACGGTACATAATGTGAGAGGTATTAGTTTGAACCTTGGCATCCCGGCCCGAGGGTACGTCCGCAGTGAAGCGCATAACGGCCATTACTCACTAGTCCCGATGCTTAATGCATAACTTATGACTAGCAAGCCGTGCTATCCCGAGGCCCGAAAGGCTTGGTGAGTTGGTACTGCGAAGTCTCTGGTTGCATCGCAACATTGAACACGTCTGTCCGTCATCATGACTAGGACGGCGTCGTCGCCTGCATTCACGACAGTACATACAGATACCGACAAGTATGAATCGCGGTGTTCCTCAACAATGTGGTGAGTCGCGGAGACTACCGGTCGACACACGTCATTTTGGAGGTGGGGTGCGATTTCTGCATTTTCATCCTCTCGTATGTGCTCATGTTCATACCAGATCAAGTGATGGTGTTTAAAATGCCAGTTTATAATTAGATTCGAATTCCGTTGGTGATGGCAACAAAATTAGGGAGGTTTAACTTAAGTTGTCCTGAAGGGTGTCGGCAAGGCTGTTGCTTCCATATGACACCGACGCAACGAGTTACCAAGTTATTTTATCCTGTATGCCACATCCGCTAGCATCCGCGGGGTGAAGTTGGGTCCATATACAATCGTCAAGCCCAAATCAAGCTGTCATGCATCATGCATGACGTCGATCGTGGCATTTACAAACCCTAACCTTAACACAACATAAGCCTCTCGCAGCCACCACTGATTCCGGCAACTCTGAGAGAGCCTGCATGAACAGACCGCTGACCATTATAGTTACAGTCTCATCAAGACCAACAACTTCGACGGCCTCATATCGGAGTCAACCCATTGTCATGCACAGAGGCCCATCTGACGACAACAACCGCAGGGGACGCGGTAGAGGAAGAGGTAGGGGTTTCCGCAATCGAGGAGTGCATATGGGCGGAGGTCGGTCGCACTAAACACGATACTGGCTCATTGACACAACATTGCTCGAGAAGCCGCGCACGGAAGGCCATCTGATGCCCCAAAACCGCGCTTGACACATTGTTGGTCCATTTGATTGATCTTTGCTGCATTAGGCTGAAGTTGATGCGTATATCATGCAGTTCTAGCTCTGCCCTTAGTGAGTACGAATCTATTGTATGATATCGTGTCCGAAGTCAACTTCAAGGAGATGATCTGACAATGTGTAATGATATCACAGGGACACCACGCTGCGCTGCGCGACACCATGTCAAGGTTCACTGGTGCTCTCCTCGCAGCAGACCCTCCCATCCCGGGGCTAGACCAGTCCATTGTTATCCCTGCACGCAGACTGCACTTCACGTTGGGTGTCATGTCCCTTGATATCGATGGCGCAACTACGTCGAATGTTCAAGGGACTTCTTTACGGACCCTTGGGGCTGCGCTGTCGCTACTACAGGAGATCCGCCCCAGGGTGATGGAGATGCTGGGAAAAGAACGTCTGCGCGTGGGTCTGAACTGCATGGATATCATGAAGCCAGAACGGCATGACCTCGACCGCGCGCACGTAATGTGGGTCGGACCCGGCCAGCACGGGGACGAGGCAGCACGATTGAAGCGTGTAGCAGGTGAGGATGGACCCCTCTTTAACTGCGTGCAGTGTGCCTGATGCCGCAATCACGTCTTTTAGAGTTTGTCAATAAGGCATTCAAGGAAAGAGGCTTGGTGGTGGAAGAGAATCGCCCGTTAAAGGTATGTTCTGGGCTCGTGCAATCAACTCGTGTCGCATGCCGACGTCGATCATTAACCACCCCTCTTACCCCCAGCTCCACTGCACGGTTCTCAACACCGTCTATCGCAAGCCCAGGGGAAAGGGTCGGCTCCCGTTCTCCTATTCGTCTGTGCTAGCTTCGCCTGCACTACGAACGGTTATAAGCCCAAGGAGCATCTCGGACCCGCTCGGCGCGGCACCGGGAATGTCGTCCTTGGCGGGACTAAAAGCGGGACCTGCGAGGGTAGACTTGGGTGACTGGGACATAGACGAGATTCAGATCTGCGAAATGGGGAGCTGGGGTCCCGAGGGAGAATATGTTTGTGTGGGGCGGTGCCCTCTTCGTTGAGACGGCGTGCGCTTGCCTGGGAGAAATTGCATTTAGCGATGCAGCCGTGCGCGGAGGGAATGTGAGTGCGATGCCATTGCGGTGCATGGCCAGCTCGGAAGAAGACGCACGACTGAATCTAGCACGGCCGCAGACGAAGAAAGAGCCGCGAATTTCGCACGCACAGACCTGTTTCTTACATAAGCACAGGATTGCTGTGTATGGGCAGGGCTGGGCTCAAAAGATTGAAAGCCCGCTGGAAAGCCCGCCTACTATCATCGCCCTGCGACATCCCCTCGCTGTTCGAGCTTTCACAACCGCCGACCCCGTCGTCCGCACAACACTTTCCATTTCCTTGTCGCTTTTCATCTAGCCCCTCATTATGTCTGAAATCCGTAGAAAGCTTGTCATTGTGGGTGATGGTGCCTGCGGAAAGGTTCGTCGCATCCGCGCAAGCGCGTGCTTTGTCGTGCTACCCCTTTACTGACCCATGCAATCTACACTCACAGACTTGTCTGCTGATCGTTTTCTCGAAAGGAACTTTCCCAGAGGTGAGTGAGGGACGCTTGTGGCCGCAGTCTCGTATCATGCTAGGGTCGACGCGAGTGGTGCGCGTAACTGTCATTAACATGTTTCATAGGTCTATGTCCCTACCGTCTTTGAGAACTACGTGGCCGATGTAGAGGTCGATGGCAAGCATGTCGAGCTTGCGTTATGGGATACGGCCGGTCAGGAAGATTACGATCGTCTTAGGCCACTCAGCTACCCCGACTCCCACGTCATCCTTATCTGTTTCGCGGTGGACTCGCCCGATTCCTTGGACAACGTACAGGAGAAGGTGCGTCCTGGCCCTAGGCCCTCTGCATGCTGCTAACGGTGTTGCCACGTCCACAGTGGATTTCAGAAGTGATGCACTTCTGTGCGGGTCTGCCAATCATCCTTGTCGGTCTCAAGAAGGACTTGAGACGCGACCCCCGTACTATTGAGGAGCTGAGGAAGACGAGCCAACGGCCTGTTACCCCCGAGGAGGTATGTTGCGAACGACTGCTTAAGCGAGCGCGTCGCCCGTCGACATGGGCGCTGATGGGCACTCCAAACACGTGCCGCGCAGTACTCGTCTTGAGCCGTTGCTATCTATATCACAGAATGTGGCTGATTCATGATATTTCGCTAGGGTATGGCTGTCCAGCAGAAGATTGGTGCCAAGCACTACCTTGAGTGCTCAGCGAAGACGGGTGAGGGTGTTCGCGAGGTGTTCCAATACGCGACTCGCGCTGCGCTTTTGAGCCGGCCCAAGGGCGGCAGGAAGCACCACTGTGTTGTCCTGTAAAGGGTGATGCGGACTACCTCATACGCGCTTCGAGCCGGCGTCGACCCTTAGTTCGCTCAGAGTGCTGTTATTCGCCCTAATACCCGTATCCTTCTCACGATTACTACTATCTTCTGCAATGCCTGTCGTACATCTCATCTTCCCACTATTACACTGGTCACGGCCTCATCTGGTACCGTTTTCTTAGTCTTTGATCGCGTAAGATGACGACTTATGTTTTCGCATCTCTTGCATGTAAGTAACGAACACGGTGCTTTACGAGTAGTGATAATGTGCAAAGACCTGTTTCCGCTGCAATCGAGATGAATGTTATTTTGACACGAGCGAGGGAAGCCGGTGGCTGTATTGTGTGAGAGCGGCAGCCCGAGTTGAACGTTGAACACGACTGCGACCGTCAGCCATCGGCACGCGCTGCTCTGGTTTCGCGACTGGGACACATTTATTCTGTGTTGCACGCGTGAACACCGCTTCAAAGGTGTGTCCAGCTCGTTCTTGCCATGAATTGTACTGATCTGGTTTCAACGATAGTCTGCCATGCCGCCGTACACCATCAGCGCGCGTCTTGCACAGTCGTCTCCGTCCATCTCTGTGGAAAAAGGCGCATACCGCATGCGCGCGCCGCCAGTCCGCTCGCCGTCCAAACTGAGGCGCGGTGCGCGTTATCGGGACCCTGCCCCGTCCTCGTACGAGAAACAGATGGCCATCCTGGTCGTCTTCCTGATCTCAGCCACCATCTCGTGTTTCTGCGCCGCTTACTATCTGTTCACGACGAGGTGGGACTCTCGGGCTCTACCTTTTGTGCACGGCAACGCATCTGACAATTCCTCTGTCTCTCTTTCTGGTCCTCAAGCCGTCCAGTTCGACTTTGACCCCCTGAACTCTGGACGAGCTGCCGCACCCGTGTCGATGGACTATGATTCTGGAGAAAAGTTTATGGCGTACCTACCACATAGTGGCTTTCACAACCAACGCATTGCTTTCGAAAATGCTCTCGTGCTGTCGCGCTTATTTAATCGTACTCTGCTTGTTCCCCCCGTTCGTCTGGGTAATAGACCGTTATACTACCTTCCGTTTGACGAGCTGCGAGACTCTATCGAGAATTCAAGCAAGGCTGGTTTTGATTCCTGCGATGCTATGTCAGAAACTGTGAGCAACACCTCGCCAGAATGTGCAGGCGACCCCGATTTTACCTATGTCCCCTGGGAATGGCTAGTCAACCTCACGCAGATCAAGTCTGAACAGAAACTACTCCAGTGCTGGGACTTGACTGACACTTGGCTAGATGACCAGCTTGATATCCGCAGCGAAGACACGTTCGCACTCAAAGATCTGAGCAGAAATCAATACAGCTTCCTGGACTTTAAGCCGTCTCCGCGGCCCCTCTCGCGGAAGTACCTGGAGCCTCTGCAGATTTCCTCTCTGGCGACACGTCCAGAACGGCTTCTCTTTCTAGGTACACTTTTTGGCTCTTCGCGGCTGCACCTCCGCGACGCGCGGAACTACAGCCTGCGCAAACGCATCCGCCAGAGCATGGCGTTCACGAATCCCGTCCTCACGGACATCGCCAGTTCCATCCAGCATGCGCTCGGGCACCAGTACCTCAGTGTGCACGTACGCCTGGGCGACGGGCTCTTCCAGGCGAACGGGCCCGCAAACATCCGCCTGACCTGGTGGAAGCTGCTACATTCTGTGCTCGAGCTTTCTCTTGCAGACACACTTGCGCTTGAAAGGAAGCTTTTCTCTGGCGAGTCTGACCCGGCCGACTCGTCTCTCGCACCGCCTAGGATTCCACTCGATATCCCAACGCTGCGCGCCCCGCACCCCCGCCTGCCCCCGCTCCCCATGCGCCCCGCGCCGCCCCTAGCGTGCTCCGGCAGGCTGCACACCGCTCCCTCTCTGCAGGTGCTCAACACGCCGCTCTTTGTCGCAACAGACGTGGGCGATCCCCGCGCGGACCCGCTCCTCTCGCGCTTCCTGCGAACCTTCCCGTGCACATTCTTCCTCTCCGACTTCCCCACGGCGACGTCCGTGCTGGACTCGCTCGAGAGCGAGTACGACGACGCGAAGCTGAAGCCGTTCCTCATGCCGTTTCTGGACGCCATGATCGCCGCGCGGGCGTGGCAGGTCGTGGGGACGGAACAGAGCACGTTCAGCGCGTTTGTGCAGGACGTGCTGTGGAGGACGTATCACGGATTCGAGATCGTGCAGCGAGGATAGGGTTATGCATTACAAGACTGTCGTCGCTTCAGCGGGCTCTTGCTACTGCCGCACTCACGACGAGCCTCGTCTATCCACTGTCTGGAAAGTCGATGAGTAGGCTAGGACTGAAATCCTATCCGATATTTGCGAATAAGGCTCTCACGGTGTTGTGGTCAGCTTAAATGCTGACGAGGTAATTCTGACTTGCTTGAGGTCAAAAGACATCGTGATGTTGGGGATCGCAGCTGGAAGTGTTTGAAACTCTATTTCACATTTATTGTTTATTACGGTACTAGTACAATGGGCACCACAACATGAAGCAACTCGAGGGCACCCTTTGCAAAGAACAAGCAGCCGAATCATCGAACGTTACCTGGGATGATCCGGCGTAGGATAAGATGGGAGGGCACAATTAAGTTATGTGGTTCTCAAGGAACCCACCTTTGCTATGGTCAGAACGTATCCTGCAACACTTGACCACAAATCTCTAGCACATGCAGTGATAAGTAATCTCATCTACAGCACTTCGTGCCTCACCACGACCGTGACTGTTTTATCCGCTTCCCACATTGAATTCCACACTCCTAGCCTGTGTATACGAGACCATATATATAGTCGAAATCAGCGAGAGCTCATCTAGTACTCAGCATTAAATGCCCCAGTAATGTCCACCCGTCCATGCTCTTTCTCCCAGTCCCTCTGCCAGTCCGCCAAACGATGCATCATGTCTGCCCACTCGCTCTCTGTCTCCATGCCCTCCAGCCAGCGTGCCTCCTCACCAAGCTCCTCCACCCTCCACCACGCCTGCGCCAATCGTATCCAGTTGAGGCGCGCCATTCTGCGCCAATCCTCGGCGAATTTCTTCCCGTCATTTGGCAGGGCACCCTGCTTTTTCAAGTCCTCGATCAGCTGGTCCTGGTAGTCCTGCTCCTCCGTGTTGTCGCCGATTAGCCGGTACCCCACGCGGTACAGGTCGGGGCCATTTGCACGCACAGTAGCTTCGTGTTCAAGGAGCTCCTGCATCATCGCGTCCCGCGGCGGGAGGAGCGATGCGTTGGCGATCACATGGGCGACGAATATGCCCTGTGCGGTGTCCGACGGCGCGTTCGCAATGAACACGGGGAGCCCGATGAATGCGAGCGCAGTGGTGGGGACGTCCGGCGCGATGCTGAATATGTGCCGGTGCAGCGGGAAGACGTACCGCAGATTGCTGGTGAGCTTCCTCGCGGTGGACGAGTTTGCGCGCGTGTATGGGTCGGTGTCCATCACGGAGGCGTGGGGCGAACAGAGGAAAGGCATACGAAGCTCGTAGCCTGTGCCGAGGAGGACCGCGTCGACGTCTCTTAAGACGGACCCGTCCTGAAAGACGACGGCGTCACGCGTAAAGTGGGAAATTAGTGGCTTTGGGATGATCGTTCTACCTGGAATGGGTACACTGTCGCTTTGTAGAGATTGGTATATCTGCCGGTCTTTAGAGGTGTGTTTATTGCACAAATTTGTAAAACGTGCTTACCACCTTGGCTATAGGGCCGATTTGTATCGCAATATCTCGCGCACTAGGCCCTCCACCTACGATTACGACGGTCTTGTCTGCATAAACCTCGGGGTCGCGGTAATATATTGAATGTTCAATCTGCCGCGCCGGTCGCCCCGGACGAGTACCAGCCAGCCAGGTCGCCGTACCGTTCCACGTCGGGATTTTCGGATAGTGATCGTTGCCGGTCGCAACAATAAGGTGGTCGAATGTACGCTTCAGGACGACCTTGCGCCCGTCGTTGCCGCCACGGGCATGCACTTCGACATGCCAGTCGCCCTCCTTGTCGTCCCCATGCCACTGCGTAGAGATAACGGTATGATTCAGGTGAATATACTCATTCAGCCCGTAGTGCACCGCATAATCTGTGTAATACTGCTGTACCGCATCCCACCGCGGTAAGAGCGGCGTGCCCGGCGGGAACGTGAAATTCCGGTACGTCATTGCCGGGTGCGGCGTGTTCGTGTGCAGACGTGGGTAGAGTGGGCTCTCGGGCAGATCTGGCGGCGTTGGGAGAGGCCCTGGGGGATCCGGCAGCCAAACGCCGCCAACATCCCGTCGTTGCTCGTACAAGACGACCTCCCACCCGGCACGCGTCTCTGGCGGCAAGTCAAGAATCGACTTGAGCGCGGCGAGCCCTCCGCTGCCCGCGCCTACGATGGCTATGGACTTCGTTGTTGTGGCATCTGCTGGTCTTGTGAAGCCGGAGTGCGGGTGTGGTATGTCGTGCGGGTCTGTAATGGGAAGCTGCTGTTCGGCCCAGAAAGCCAGGGGGAGGAGCGACAAGACAAGCTGCCCAAGTTGGACCATTGTGTGAAGAGAGCTGAGGTCGAGAAGCAAGTATTTCGACAGAGCCGCTGTTTATGTGGCCACTTTGTACGAAACTCTGCGCATCCGAGACCGGGATGGCTGCGTCTTTGGAGATCAATTAGAGCAGCTTTAAGCAGGCTTCACAATTATTTCACCATTCGCAAACTCCGCTTCATGCTGAAACACGCAATAAGTACAGTCTGTGGACTCTGTGGGGCCCGATGGCGGGCGCGTATGAGCGCAAAATACGGGCGGCAATCACATTTGAACTGAGACGAATAGGAAGTACGCGCCAGGCTACGTGAAGGGCATATACAGCCCGTTCTGAACAAGTTGTCGGTCGGTCGCGCTGTTTTATATGCCTTTCCGTAAGACATGAATGTTGGCGGGCCCTACAAACCTTCAGCCCGGGGAGCGGATCTCTTCTGAGTTCGAAAGCGGGAGTTTTGACGTCCAAATCTGCACATACAAGAATATCATGCATTCGGATGCCTCGTCTATATCTGGGTCGGCACTCACCACGGTGCCGACAGCTTGTACCAGAGCTACTAGTACACTAATATATGCAGTAAAGAATTGGGGAAGGGCTGCCGTCGACGTGTCACATTGGCATAAGATCCAGCTGACACTAGCGCTCTGAATAGTATATGAATACGGCTGTGTCTGCGCCTAGAATACAACATATATCCACAGGTAATGAAACGCAAGTTGTCCAACATTTGCATGTCGCGTCGGGCTTGAATGCGCTCACCATCAGCCACTTCGATCAGCCGCCAAAGGTCTGGCCCTTTATTGACATTCAACGTATACTATGACATGCCGCCCCTTGTCAATCCACTCTGCCCGGTCAGTGCTTTACTGCTGCATGCTGCAAAGTAAACATGGCGCGTGTTCGACGGTGATCCATCGTAGAACCACGGGGAGTAGTGCTGCCGTCTCACAAATGCGATGCTCATTACCCATTGATTTTGCATGTATCTGTTCGTCGCAACCTGATTCTGATATCGCAACACATCTGCATAAGAGCACTATGCTCATTATTACAAATTTTAGCCAACACTAACACGATCTGGACCCACAGGGCCTATCGACCGTTGCAGGCGGGTCCAGTCCGCGGTGTTGAGTTTGTACTTTCATCTTCCCATTTACAAACGTCCACTATGATACACCTATGTATTCCGTCAGGCTGTGTGGAGGAAGGAGCGTGCTCTGTACGCCCTAATGGGGGCACGGTCTCCTAGTTTTGACGCCTCTCGCGCTCCTCTTGCGCATAGACAAGATCTGGGTCGCGGTTGCGCACTTCGGGGAGAAGCAAGCTGCATACTGTGGTTTCCTTGCGTCAGTCAGAAACTAAAAGGAACGTATACTTGAGCTTACCTGCACCTGCAATGCAGCAGCCAAAGAAGACTGTGATGTGCATCGTCAGCTCTATCGACTGTTGTTTAGAGGGGGTACTTACTCCAGAGGACGGCGGGTGTGCCTATCGACTCGCTGAGCGAGTTGAATGCGAGAGCAGAGATGATCGCCCCCGCTTTGCCGCACGCAGCAGACATTCCGTGTGCCGACGCACGGAAGCGTGTAGGGAACACTTCGGCAGGATAACACTGATAAGTAAATATGCGACGTAAGTATATTGCGTGACGATGGAGGACAGCAGGATGCTCACATATGTTGTTCTATGGTATAATCATGTCAATAGTGAGGAGGGAGCAAACAGCGAGATGTGTACGCACGCGTTGGCACCGAAGTTGAAGAAGAACTAGAAAATCAAGTCGTTCGTCAGCAACAATACGAGCTGCAGTGGATGTCGGCGTACCTGGAGAAGAGCAAAGTTTACTATGAACGCGGCCGTGCTCAGCGTATGGAACATGCCAGCGAGAATGCCCACTGGTTCACGAGCATCGATGTCAGTACCATTTCGCGCTAGAAAAAACACGCAAGAAACACGTACGAAAGAGAGCCGCGAGGAGGAAGCCCTGGATCTGGATCCATTTGCGGCCAAGCTTTTCGATTGTCAATATGGTCACATAGTACCCTGGTGAGCGGCCGTTAGACAATTATTACGACACTGAATGGCGGATGTTGCCCACCAGGTAGAAAACCAAGCCCGGTGATGATGAGATTGCCAATGCCGATCTTGAAAAGACGTGTCCACGGTGAGCCTGAGTTTCCGGCGAAGCCGATTTGCTCTAGGACGACGTTCTGGTTCAGGTTGATGCCGTAGAATCTGGCGCATATAAGAGTATGTCAGCATCCTGTTCGACCCGGCCAAAGGGCAGGGAACGCACGCAATGTCGAGCAGGAACCAGCAGGAGCATGTCCCGAGGAGAATCTTGAAATGTCGCCACTCGGAGAAATACTGCACGTACTCGGCCCAGTATGCGCGTTTAGGCTGTGGGGAATGGGCCTTTTCGTGGACACTAGACTGCGTCTCCGACGCGGTTGTGGACAAGGGTGGGGAGCTATCGACGGGCTGCACACTTTCGGACACTGCGGGATCGGCGTCAGCCTTTTTCTTGAGTTCCTCTATCGAATCTGCTTCGAGATCTGCGCCCTTCTTCGCTGCTTGGTATTTTTGGGACTCTGGCAACGTTAGCCGCTGGTAGAGCGTTCCGAATGCAGGGACGAGCGAGAGTCCGACCAGGATTCTCCACACTATGCCGATACGAATTTAACAGCAAACATATAAGACTTTTAGGGCTGCGCACCTCCATCGACCTTGCTCGTCTCGCCCTCAGTCTCCATGACGTGCTTGTAGCATGCGAGGACAACGATGACCATCAAGCTTCCAATCAGGGAGCCCCAGCCCTGGTTGGCAAAAATGTACGCTAGCAGCGTCCCGCGCCTGCGCAGGTTCGCTCGGTCTGTTGTCACGGATGCGGACATAGGATAATCTCCACCGATTCCTATACCAAGGATGATGCGGAACACTGATAGCCAAATGAGCGAGCCTGAGGGTGAGAGGTCGCCTGCGTGCAGCCACAAGTGAGTACTAAGAATGTAAGATGATAACGGGAGATGGAGCGTACCAGTCGGATCTGATATGCACATAATGGTGGCGAAGATGATGAGCATAAGCTCCTTTCCATCTGTGCGTAGGGATGAGGATGAGCGAATCAGGAATGGTCGTGTGACCGCACGTACATATAGCCTTTCGACCAAAGTAATCTGCGGCATACCCTACGGAAAGAGGATGGATATCAGTAAGGTTGAAACAAATGAGGGCGGACACTCAGGGGAGAAGGTGAACAGATAGGCTTTTAAAAAAGGTAGCACTAGGGGATCGTACAATGGTATATGTGTAGACTATGTCTCGCAAAACAATTCTGCAGTGGTATCCCGCCGTTCCGCCTCCGCTCGCAATGGACTGTCGGCCTTCATGATAGCCTGTCGTGTGACCGAGATCATACAGGGCTACACGGCACAAGATATTGGTCACACGACCACCATGTACATAGTCCACCACGCATACAACCGATGGTACCGGGAAAACACACGAGAAGAAAGGCGTGAGACTGGAAACAGGGACTTACCGAACCCAAACTGGCCCACGACACTCCCAATGTTTGCGCTGGCCTTGAGGAGGCCCTGCAAGCCAGCCGGGAGGGCTGCGCCTCCGTACAGGCGGTACTGGAGCATTGTTGATACGGGCTGATCGACAGGTTTAACGACGATGTAACAAGTGACAGACAACGGTTACATACGTTGATGATGAACAGGTCGTACGCTTTTGGAAAATTGCGGCTGTGAGATGCTCAATTTTGCGGCACACGACCACATAGGACGCACCATCTAGGAAGAATCCGACCTTCGCGATCGTCAAAATCATGTTTCACAGAAGCATAAAACCACAACGCGCACCCCGGTGATACTTAGCAGCTTCATCTCTCGCCTGCTCAGCATGAACGTCGGTCTGCCATCGTCTTCCCTCTCGTATTCCTCAAGGCCAGACCTCACACTGGCAGGCTCGAACTCGGACATGACTGGAGAGAAGTCGTTAATGAGGAAGAGAGAAAAAGGTGGAGAGGACAGAGGAGGGGATGGGCTTTATGGGCGCAGGAGGAAGTGGAGAAGATTCATACGTACCGACGGGGATGGACGCACGTTCGAGGGAGTAGCAGCCACCGGCTGCACCAGCTACTAGATCCGGCAGATTTTCATCTCAATCGGACGAGAGTACCACGTGACTGCGCCGCACATACCCGTCTACGGTCTCGCTAACACTAGCACTGGCCATCTCGAAGGCAGGGTCGGCTCTGCGCAAGACATGCCCTCGCTGTCGCGGTATTCAGCCATGTTGTTCGGCCGAAATTTAGTTGCAGCTGGTCTGTCCGCGACATTTAATGCCAGTGCGCACGCACTGCGGAGGACTCACGTCTGCATGGATGCGAACTCGCCTTTGGATCCTGTGTGGGCAGCGCCTCTCTCTAGAGCGTGGGCTGGTTCGGTGATGCGGGAACTTGGGCTTAACAGACAATTTCTCTCGACTCGGGACTTTAGAAGACCTATGTGACAGGGCCGACTGCCTGCCTCGCTCTTCATGGGCATTCTTACTTCATATCTCCGATCGACGACGGGGGGAAGAATATACAGAGCATAAGAACAAAACTTCGAGGTTCATAACGTTCATGCTTCAAGGTGTGCTAGGACTGCGTAGAGTCAATTTTCCCTGGATCCATGAGTCACCTTCAGGATTTGCCCAGGACTTCCGACAATTGCAACTTGAACGAGAGATGACCCTTACGGGCAAGACAGCGGACACCAGAGGACCTCCATGATATCAGCACCTGCCCCATGTGTTGCGCGTAGTGCGTACGGGTATGATGAGCCGGGCATCATGTTCTCGCCACGGCCCACGGCCGAGCGAGCATCTCCATGTTTCCAGTGGGTATATGCGAGCAAGCGGCGCACTCAGCGAGCCGTCGAACGTGCGTAGGACAAAGAGGCTCATTCGCGGATAGCGTGGAGATAGGCTCGCCTATCGCTCCATGAGCATCAACACACCCGTCCTTCTTTGCTCCGGTCCCACCTGGCTCAGCGCTTCGTTTCCACTGCGCAGGCGCTTACCACTGTATTGCACTCAGCGCAAATACCACTTTTACTGGAACTACGGTTGTCCGCCACACGTTGCGCCCTCTCTTCTCTCGATCTCGCTCGACCATCCGTCACAAATAGCAGGCTGCCACGCAAAGGCGGATGTAGATGATCCCCAAACTACAGAAACCGCGAATCGTTGATCGGTGTGTCCAAGACCTCTATAGTCCAATACTGTGCGCGTGATCTCGCTCCATCGCCGTGAAACACATATCGCGAGCCAAGATCAAGTAATGTAAGTACTTGGTGTATTTCGGGATCAGCAATAATCATAAACTTGCTCAGAATCAGCTGATCACATATCAGGCAGGGATCAAATTCGTCGGCATCTAGAGACGAACTACTATTCCCGCCAGAGGAGGAACGGAAGGTGATGTGAGACAAGACCTGTCGGCCGGAGACACCCTTTCGTTGAGGCAGTCTCTGCGACGCGGGTTCGCGGGGCATGGCACCCTACTGAGCTTGAGCTGGTCAGCTTCAGAGGCGGCATGGCAAGGCACCAAGAAATATAGTCATCCGGGTTGCCCAGTTTTCCCCTCTAAGCTGAGTTGCTCACGACGAAAGCCTCAGCCAACTATCCCTACAAGTGGCGTGCAAAGCGTCAGACCTGAGGCAGAACGCCTACCCACCATATTCTGCGCGTGTCCGCATTCATTGAGATCTTCTGCTAGTCGCCACAGCACAGACCAAGCACCAGTTTGACAAGACAGACATTGAATTCCAAGGTAAGACATGAACAAGGGCATATAGACACATAGGATTAGGCATAAGCATAAGCAGAACTAGGCAGAATCAGCACACGTAGCGATTCGCAACAGAGGAACAAGAAAGTCTCTAACAAAACACCAGCACGAGTCTATTCTCGAGCTGACGGAAGCCCACCGCCTACTTCTTGAAGATGAGCTGCCAGACCTGCCCGGGGCGCGAGCCGTTGAGCCCGTCGGGAATCGGGACCATCGCGATGCCGTCAAAGCGCAGGTGGCCCTGCAGCAGGTCCATCTTGAGAATGCCCTTGGTCATCGCTGAAAGACGCTCGCCCTTGTCCACGATGTAGCCGTAGCGCGCCTCGTACTGCCTCGTGCTCTCTTCCTTCTCGGCGGGCGAGATGAGTGCGGTGTCAGCCGGGGCCAGCGGCGAGACCGCCATCTCGTGGATCGTGTGCAGTACGTCGCCGACGGTCACGTAGGGCGTGCGCCGCGGGACGACGGCGAGCTGCCAGGGGAAGAAGGGGGAAGTGAGGATGATGCTCTGGACTTCGGGGCTTGTCGCCGCCTCGGTAAGTCGCTCCGTGACCGTGTCCGGGTCCGCGGTGTGTGGCCCATGTCGAATGTCCCACGTGTAGCCCGCCTGGGACTGGAGGAGGGCGTGGAGGGTCAATGGCTTGGGGTTGAAAATGTCGTCGATGGCGGGTATGTTGGATGATTGATTCTGCCAGGCATCCCAGTACTGCTGGCCAAGATCGGGCTGCGCTGAGAGAGGATCAAGAGGAGTATAAAACTGTGAATCCTCTGGAGTTGCGACGTAAGAGGACGAGGATGCAGAACTTGAAGAATACCCGGAAGGCGTTCCCGCTGTCGATGGGTTGAAATTGAAGTTGTTGGGGTCCAGTAAGTTAGGATCCAGGGGTGAGTAGAATTGCGGATATTCCGGAGTTGAGGAATGCGAGAATGAGGAGGCTGAGCCCATAGGCTGGGAGGGAACGTCCGTCGGGAAGTTGAAGCTGCTGGGGTTCAGTATGTGCGGATCCTGGGGCGAGTAGAACTGTGGATACTCTGGATTTGAGGAGCCCGAAGGCTGAGACGAAGTTTCTGTCGGGAAGTTGAACTCCATGACGGTCTTGCGGCGGGTGGACGGAGTGTTGATGCTGAATTTGATGATGAGGCGAAGACCGTATCGTCCCTTTTATCTTCTTTTCTCGTCTCTGTTGGCCAAGGCACGGCGAGGGACCCACAAAGCGCCAGCGCCACGAGAGCAAGGATACATCGCCACGGAGGTCGCAGCAAACCTGCGGGTTTTGCGCATCAAAGACCCAAGTTGTCCCATAGCCACAAGCGAAGAGATGGAAAAGGCAGCTGGTGTCCACTAGTGCTCGTCTGCCGCCACAACGCCAGCGCAAAGCGGCCAAAGCTCGGCCAAAGCAAACGCGCCTGTGTCGGCAGTGCCCAGATTCGTCCGTTGCCGTGTCCCGGCAATCACAATCTGAGATTTGATTTCACGCTCGTCCATCCTTGCGCAGGCCGTCCGCTTTGAATGAGATCTCTCAGCGTTGCCCACCGTCCGCGCACACCGCGTTGGCCGCCGTAAGGCAGTGTGCGCACTCTGCGCTTCGACATGCCAAAGCGTAACCCTGCGGAGCGGGATAAGAAGGCGCAGCCATGCCCTCACTCCTCATCCAAACATCCAGCTCACCTTCGACTTATCCATCGACACCATGGGACCCAGAGCAAGACGCGTCAGTTTCGTCACTCCCGCCCCCATCCATGTCCCGCCAGCCATAACCAGCCAAGTCCCGCCTCCGTGGCAAAATTCCCGCTCGCCACAGTACGCCCAGTCATTCGCGCAACCGCAACTCTCACCTCTCCCCTCCCCGGTCTACTGGCAGCCCTACATCCTCGTCCCCTCGCCTGCGTCTATGCACATGTCCGCGCCATCTGCACCACCCACTCATCCCGCCCGGCCCGCGCCCGCGCATGTCCACCCCGCTCTCCGCGCGCCCCTCCCACATGTTCCAGTTTGGGACATGCGCCTTGCGCCACCGCCGACCGCTCCCGCAATGCGCGGCGAGCACGCGACGAATCCCGCGCGCGCACAGCTCCTCGTGACGTGCACGCTGCTCCCCTGGGCGCTCTCCCTCTCTCCCAGCACGCACCTCTTCGTGTCCGCGCAGGACGTCTTCGACGCGCTGTACACCGCGCTGCGCACGCCCGTGCGCCAGGAAGAGGTTGATGCGGTCCCGCACAGCCAATATTCGCGAGTGAACGCCGCGGGCGAGGCGTACAAGGTGCGCTACCGCGCGTGCGTGGACCCGGCGCGCCGTGCGCGCGAGAAGGCCGCGGGCATGCGGCGCGTCGACTTTCTCGGTCAGACCTATCGCTTCGGGGGACTCGTGTTGGTGGAGGATGTGAGTGCGTACCGTGGGCGGAGTGTGGGTGAGGTGTGGGCACTGAAAGTAATGTGAATGGAATGTACGCGTCCCGAGGCAGTAGAGTCTTTACAATTCATAGACGGGAGTGATGGGAGTGCTTCTATGTAAATCCATGTGTTCGCAGTGATTACATATGTCTTTTCTATGGTCCTCACGTCTTGCGGTAGCAGAAAATCCTCGTCGAAGATAGGAGGGGATGTTTAGCATCAGGCACGCTGAGAGATGCATCCAAATCCTGCAGTTCAGGATGATATACACAATCGAACGAATGGAGACATACGTTGAGCTGACACATCAGCCCGCAGAGCCTCGCTCCGAATCGAGGTTGTGGCGCCGCCGCGCGTAAACACGATGGCTGTATGCGGGGAGATTGGGAGTCAGAAAGCTCAAAGCGGAAAGCTTTGAATAACATGAGAAAGGTGCGACACGACTTTGGCAGGGCGGATTTCGGAACGGGCTGGCTGCCGCATAGTGTTATTAAGACGTTCATTTGGTAGATCGACCGGCGCATCGGCGAGGGACGGGTGCGAGTGCCTGAACATTGCGCTGAGCGGACGGTGTGAATATGAATTTATGTAAGCACGGACACAAACCTAACTCTACGCGCAGACTGGGGCAATAATCAGGAAGGAGAGCTTGTGAGAGTTTAGCAGGGGCCAATTAACTTCCTGTAGTCTGTTCAAGTTTGACGCCTTTGGCAAATGATGTAGATGCATGATGCATGAATCTTTGCGCGCGTTTGGAAGTATTTCGACAAACGTACAGACAGATGCACGGAATCATCATGCATCAGGAGCCACCGTTCAAGAGACGTGTCGACAATCAAGCGCACCGTGTATGCGACGGTATATACCAGTAGACGGTATTAAAAACCTAGCCTCCTATCGCCAGTGGGTCAGGTCGTATAACGTGGACATGAATTCAAATTATAGCGACGTACGAGAGCGATGTTGATACGCTGGCTGCACATTGTGATTGGACGATGCAACACTGGGTAGACACGCTTGTATAGAGGTCCTTCTGTGCTAGCGCATGTACTTCCCATGCAAACCACCCCGTCCCGAGGGAATAGAGTATCGCAGGTGGTAGGATGTGATAGGGTGAAGCTAGATGTTCGCGGCAGGTGTATATTCATATTTTCTGTGACCAGCACTGTCCGAATGTTTGCGAAATCCAGTGCTGAAATATACCCGTAGGTTCGACCGACAAGTTGCCAGATAGTAACGGGGGAGTTATATGAGAGGCTTGGATAGGACCTAGGCTTGAAATGTGCGCCGATCCAGGTTAGCCGACTGCAATTGATAGACTGCGACTTGAGCTTGAAGCTTGAAATCAAAGTTGAAGTTCGGATTCTTCCAAGAGTCGGATCCTTCTGAACTTGGAAGGTCACGACAATTTGCACGTGACTCAGAGGAAATCTAACTGTATAATTTTACATACTTAAAAACGTTAGATTAAGGCTTCGAGTCGAATATCGATGATTCAATTGCAAGCGTTGCGCATACATACGACGTACGTACAGGTGTCGGGGCATAGTTCCTTCTCTCTTCCCACTTGTGCATATAAGAGCATTCCCTTTCCTTGGTCATTTTGTTCCATAACTCGAGGTGCTCATTTAGGCAATGGAGTCCACTTCTGGGCTGTGCTATTCTTCTCCCGGAGCTCTCGGAGTTTTGGTTTTTTAATTGGCCGTTTTGCTCTTGACAATATGCAGATCCAATACTCGAACTCAGCCGAAGTTGATTCCGGTGCGAGTCGTGGTATGTGTATGCTTGTCGTAAACGGCCTTCTCTTTCGTGCCGGTGGATTTATAGCTGAAAGGAGTTCTTACATTTCGTCAAGCTTGCCGTGCCCAAGGATGGTCTGCTCCGCCTACACAACTCGCCGGCGACGCGTCCTTGCGACGATCCAACGGCAGAGCACCTAAGTCCTGGAGTACCATGACGGACTTTTGATGTCTGTATTGAAGGAAAACTTGAAGTCTTCATCCACGAGTGTCATGATAGTGGTCTGTATATTAATAACATGGGCGGGGCAAGTTTCTCGCTGCAATTGACTACAAAAGGCGGGTGGGTTCTTGCGATCAAGATTTGTATAGTGAGCTCTCAAACATTTCCTTATTATTGGACACCTTTTATGACTCACGTCGCAGAATTAGGGATTCGTGTTTCTGTTGACACTGGCGGCGTCGGAGAATTTGACTTTGAGCCGAATAGAGTTTCAATAGGATCGAACTGTCTTGCCATGCAGCACAAGTTGTGATCTTCCGCGCACGCAGCCCGTCTGCTCCTGGCGGCATGTGATGCTGCACGTTGTTGCTCGATATTGTGAATGCCTTTTTTTGTGATTATGTGGATGTTATCTTGCATGCCTGCTAATCCCCTCGACAGAAATCGAAATTGAATCTTCTTGTACGAGGTTGGGCAGCGTGGACGCGAATGGCAAAGCACGCAAAGGGAAGCAAGACAGTCTATCACAGATACACGAGGCAGAGCGCGAATGTCTCCGACGTGAGATGGTATGTTTTAGTATGTACTGGTACATCTGCGGCGCACGTGTCGTTCCCCAGTGTTTCCTTAAGCTTGCATATTTCTGAAGGGGGTCACGTCGCGCTTGCCGGGGCACCAAGACCCTAAGAGTCCATCATGGGCTCCATACCTGGTGATCTCCAAGTTCCGAGTTCTCCCATGCCTCGATGGCTTTACGTTGTCGTGACTGAACTATATAATCCCCACTCCCCAGATCGTATCCTATCTCCCAGCCGGGGGCCCATCCTCATCAGTGCCATATTCCTGAGCGTATTTAACCTTAAAACTCGGATATAATGCCCTTGTTCAAGCGCGTTTGCTCTTCGTTACAATGTGTATCTATCTCACTCCATTCCGACAGCTCTATACGGCGCTCGAAAGTTGATGGTCCAACAGATCCGACCAAGAATGCCCCGCCCATCTCGTCATACAATCCTCCTAGCCTCTCTCCCATCTCCCTTATTCCTCCATGGTAATTCCTCCGGTTTCCGTGCGCGTATCAGCTGATGGACCTCCTCTTACAGCCCCTCTGCTCCTGCGGATTTGCAAGACGCACAAGTATTGAAGTGAGACAGAACATTGTGCGTACTTGTGCTCCACTTGGCTTATCGCGCGCCTGCAGTACCATCGACGATCTGGCACGAGGCATCGTCCAGACCACCCACGCAAAGACGGAGCTGACGCTGCTGGTCGTGGGTGAGCCCCCTCTGCGCTTCCCTCGCCATAATTGATCAGTGGTCCCTCCCCTCCGGCTTGAAGGTGACACCGGGACGGGAAAAACAGCTTTTCTATCGCTCATCGCGAATGTGCTCAAGGGAAAGACCCCCAGCGAGTACACCAAGCTCCACGAGCTGGCGCACGAAGTGAGCGGCTCTAGAAGGCACGGCAAGACCGATGCTTTTGTGCCATACGAGTTCGTCAGCACTAATGGCGTTACCATGCGCATACTGGATACCCCGGGGATCGCGGACACCCGGAGCGTCACGCGAGCGATTCACGACCATGTGGACACCGTGGATGCAGTCCTCGTCCTCGCGAATGGGACCGTCCCGCGCCTTGGCGTCGCCACGGACCACGCTCTGTCCGCTCTCTCGGCGCTGCCCGCCGCGCCCACGCAGAAGGTCGGATTTCTGTTCACGAACGTGTCCAGTCCGCTCTGTTGGAGCTTCGATGAGGAGTCCCTCCCCGATGTTCTTGGCGCGAGTCCATTGTTCCGCCTTAACAACCCTGTTGCAATGCGCGCCAAGTACCTGCGCGAGAAGAAGAGGATCGAGGCGGAGGGGGCGCCCAGCAGCGCGCAGAACGCGCTGCTCAGTACGCTGAGAGCGGCAGTCGAGGACGCACACCGGAGCGCGCTCGGCGAGCTCGTGAAGGTCCTCGACTGGGTGGACTCGCTCGCGCCCCCGCCCGCGCGGGACGATGCGTCGCTCTTTGCGGCCGCGCAGGAGATCGACAAGACGCTCTCTGACGTCCTTGCGGCCATCGGACAGATGGTGGCCAAGAAGGCGGCGCTGACGAAGATCAAGAAGGAGACGCACGGCACCACATTGGTGGGGTCTCCCTTTGTCCTTGGCTTCTAGCTGATTGACCTTATTCCTAGACGACGGAGCTGTACAGGCAGTACCAAAGTACGATTACGCAAAAGGTATATAGGCAGGTTGGTACGCCGTACCACAACACATTGTGCACCACCCCAGAGTGTTATCACAACTGCCACGAGCGCTGCGGCCTTCCGTTCTCATTGGAAGCCGAGGGCATCCGCGAATGCTCCGCGTTCTCGTGTGGCCAAGTCAGTAACTGCGTAGTATGAAAACACCCGTACACGCAGCATCAGCACTTCAACGTAAAGTGGGAACTCACAGAAGACAAGCATGTTGTTGTTGGTCACGCACTGGACGGGCACGGTACCGGGACGGAGAGGAATAAGCAGGAGATGGGAAAGGCACGGCTAGAGAAGACCATCGCGAACCTCGATACGGCACTGGCGGACGCCGCGGTGCAGGTCGGGCAGCAAGTAGGGGAGTACGCCAAACTCCCGCTTTCTGTGGGCTTCGCCGGTCACCTCAGGAAGTCGGTGGCGCTGCTCAGGCTGAATGTAGAGACCATGCGTGGCAACGGCACCGACGCCAGTATCATCGCGTCGGTCGAGAAGGCACTGAAGCGTATGGAAGAGAAGTTCGTTCTAGTTGAGGCCGGGAAGGGGCGGAGAGGCGCGAAGGCGGTGGAGCAAGAGGAAGCTCCCCGTCAGTTGATAATCCTGGAGGTGGGTGCTCTCTCCCACGGATACAGTGTTGAAATGACGGCAAACTGATGCTGTTCACTGACAGTCCCTCGCCCCGCCGCCGATATGGTACTTTTATTCCCAGTCGATGTGATGGGTGGGGGTGAGCAGCATTGTATTGTCGGTAAACTTGTATAGAGTCATCAACAAAGTGCGAGAATGAACATGTACCCAAAAAGGTATCTTATAAAGCAAGTAGTTGTCAGTCGCCACCAGCGCAGATAATCGTTCTCGCATTTTGGCGACGGTGCCATACGCCCGCGACCCGACCGTACGATTGTCACGCGCAACGCTGTGTATGTGTTCAAGTATTCCCTCGCACTGGAGGATTTGGCTGACGATCTGAGCCATGCACGTTGGTACGGGTACTTTGGGTTGTCGCGGGGTGCGGCTGACTGTGATTGACTACTTCTCTCGGGCATAAGGAGGGGAAAGACTGCATGCACTGTGTGTGTGCCAGGGGCGGGAGGAGCAGACTGAGTGCGGAGGATGTGCGGCGACTCACGGGATTGAACGAGTCCGAGATGGCGATCGCCCGATCCCCGGCGAGCGGGGGCTGTCTCCACTGCGTCCGCGTCCTCGCCCCCCATCTTGGCAGTGCGATTTCCGGTTGCAGCATGTCTCTAGCCTAATTTTCTTGCTGTCAAGAGGCTTGTATATAAGGCGGGTGAGCGTGCTCGACGACCTCTGCACCCTTCTCTTTCGCCCCCCATGCGACTCCCTGTCTGATCCCCCTATCCTCCAAGTACGAATCTGCTGTGGCATAAAGTGCGTTGATGTTTTGCCACGGCTCGTGGATGGTAACCCGGGCAGACACGCCTTGTCGGTCATAGGAGCGCGCATCGCCTCCTTACGCGTTGAACTCAGTCCTCAGTCAAAACTCCAACATGCCGAGCGGAATGCGCTGGACCGCCCCACTCGGCGCCAGCGCGGGACGAGCCATACAGGCTAGATCCGCCCATATTGCATCGCTGATGAGGGTGTGGATGAGACGGAGTAGCTGCACCTCTTGCCCGGGCCGCGGATCTAAACGTGCGTCGAAGACTAGGTGGTGCGCGATCAACGCCATTTGCGCCGAAAGGTTCGAATTCGTTATCAACGAGTTAATTACTCACCGTACGCGACCCCAGACGCCCTGCATCCTCGTTTATGCAACCTAACGGCATCCCCAGCCGCTTCGCGGGTACGGCGATCGTGCAGATTGGGCCCGGAGCTTGCAGGGCGATGGACAGAGTGTTTGACGGGGGCAGGCCCAGACGCAATGGATCAATTGCGGAGACAGCTGGGCGGAGCAAGTTGATTGAATGAGGCTGGAGTGGAAATAAACTGGGCGTGGGCGGATGCCGACTGGCGCGAGAGCAGCCGCCGTCCACTGGGTCTGGGTGGTTCTGCGGTCGTCGCAGCCGGTGGAGGGCGAAGACTGGGAGACGCGAGAATGTCGGTCGCCCGCATCGCGCAGACGATGGACGAAGATAAGTAAAGTTAAACATATGAACTGAACTGAACGGCAGACTCGATCAGGCAACGCACAGACGCCCGAGATGGGCGAGGCTGTTTCCCGATCCGGCAGCCCTGACGCGTGGCACGGGGCGCATCCACCGCGCGTCCATCCGCTCCGACAGCCACTTGTCTCTCCCGAGTCCAGGCTCCCCTCCTTATAAATGCCCCCGTTCCAGCCCTCCCTCTCTACGCACCCTCCCCCGCCCAGCCGTGTACACTATGATCCGCTTCGACAACATCACCCCCGAGGTCATGCAGGCTATGTGCACCCCCATGCACTGCATCGTCCCCGCATCGGCCGCCGCACGCACAGGTGCACTCTACCTCGGCTCGTTCGCTGCCATCCTCGACCAGCAGCTCCTCGACGCCAACCACATCACCGCGCTCGTCCACGTCCTTGATGCCCCCTGGGTCCCCGAGGCCGCCCCCGGGTCGCAGATCGAGTCGTACCGGCTCGACATCCTCGACAGCACGACCGCCGACATCCGGCCGCATCTCGAGGCCACTGTGCGCTGGATCGACGACCGCCTTCGCAAGGGCACCAATGTGCTCGTTCACTGCCAGCAGGTGGGTCTCGGTCGCTCCTCGCCATGTGTATACTCACGCGGCGCGCAGGGCATGTCCAGATCAGCAGCGATCGTGATTGCGTACCTCATCTACACCCAAAATATGACCTACGACGCCGCATTCGACTTTGTCCGTCGCAAGCGTGCGTGCATCAAGCCTAACGCCGGCTTTGTCAAGTGCGTCTTCTCTGTCCTGTGCGACCGTCATGATGTGTCTGACGTTCCGCAGAGCACTTCAGGAGTGGGAGAAGAAGTGGCGCAGCACCCAGCCTCGCCCAACCGTGCGCCGAGCCGCCACCACTCCGCGATGATAGAGTTTTTGCGTCTGTTAGACGAAGTTGGGGAGCGAACGTGTCGCTCGTTCCCCTGCCTTCACATACCGGTCGCCCAGTTATCTTGTCACTCCCCGGATCGCTGCCCTTCTCCACTATCCGCTGTGGCGCACCATCATACCCCGCTGACAGCCTTCTCTGGCACGCTTTTTTCGCCTGCGCCTTGCGCGGTCTCGGATATCTGCATACACTACCACCACTACATTCATGGGTATTTGTCGTCCCTTATCACGTCGTTGTGTTTCTCTCCGGGCTGTTGTATCTATACGGCGGATCTACCACCGATCGAGATTGGCATCTCGGTCTCGGTCCTCGGTCTCAGTCAATCGCGCATCTGCATTGTCACTGCAGGGCTACGTTATATATCATCAGATGCAAGTGGAGGCTCCGGGTCTATACGCTCTGCGAGCGTATCGGGGCTTTGCGAGGATCAGACATATTGCATTCGACGCAGATGGTGCTGTATTATCTATTGGTCGGGTGTACGCATAGGCATGAATGCAGCGTCTGGATTTCGGTCTAGCAGTTTTAAAATGGCTGGATGGTGATCGGAGGGCGGGCTTCGCGCGACGGCCTCCTCGGTGTCGTGCCCTGGGAGTACAAACAGAATACAAGCAACACATCACGGGGATGCGCCAGTGACAGCACGGTCCTTGTGGTCTTTTCGAACAACAAGGGGATTTCACCATATTAGAGAAGGTCAGGGCCGATAGCCTCATCGCCGTGTTTCCGTAGCTGACGCCCATCGTGCGAGTTGGAACGATTGCGTTATTGAAATTGGAAGCAGGTCCCTTGTGTGAGGAACGCCGCATGCAAGTGTGGCTGGCCCAGAACTCGCCGCACGCCGTGGAGGCGAGACGTGCGAAGCTGATCGATCACGCCGGGGCGTTGTATTTGGCGAAAGCCTGGAAAGACATGGTGTAGGTCGACTGCATTGGCTCGAGATGAGGGCGTGTCCGGATCTCCACAGCGCGTTTGTCTCGCGGGGCGTCGCTTCCGCTTCCTCCACATGCACTTCGCGGGCTGGAGATAGCGCACTGAACACCACTCCAGGCGAAGCGTGCGTGCGCAGAGTCTATCTGCATCTCGAGCCGTCGGGGAGAATCCCGGGGCGATGTGCGCCCAGACCGATGCGGCGCAATGTGAATACAGCAGACAAGAAGACACTCCGCACGGTGCCGTACGCGTGAACTTCGCTCGCCAGCGTGTCTGCGCTGCCGCCTCGCCGGCCTCCCAGGGCCTGTCTCCACCGCGTCTTCCACGAGCCCCGCGCTTCTCCCAGCACACCCGGCGAGCCGGCGCAACTTTAACCTACCCATCTATCAGGTAGGATTCCACGCACCCTTCTCTCGCCTACCCCTGGCCTTCCTGCATGCCGCTGATCTGGGGCGATCGCGTCTGGGCGGGAGCCCACATGTCTGCGCTAGCGGCGGCAAGCGCCATCGGCCACACCGCGCGACGACACCCCATTTCCTTCTTACTGGCACTGAGCCCCCAGCGCTGGCTGGCTGACGTCCCAGGCGGCGTAATATCGTGCACGAGACGAGATGCGACTGACCAGGTGGCGCATCGATGTGCATTGTGTCTCGTCTGCCTTCGAATGGGACGAGCCGGAACTGTCAGCGTGCCCAGGACTAGAACGCCCGCGAGACTCGCTCCCGTCGCCTGGCAAGTCACGCTGGGCAAACAGGCCTCGGGAGGCGCCAGATGTGCCAGCATGTGTCGAAAAGGCCTTGATCCGGTCAAAGGAGGCCCCGGTGGCAAGATCGAGTGGGCGGGGGCGCTGGACGGCGCGATGGAGGCTCGGCGCGCGCGCAACGTTCCGATTCGCGACGTTCAGCTCGAGAGCGTGCGGTCCATCGATCGGATCAGACCAGGGCGACGGCGTGGATTCTCAGTTTGGCGCAGGCTCGCAGCTGCCAGAGAGCCACTATGCTGACTTGGGGCGCAGAAGCTGTTCATTTCCGGTGCAGCATCTCTGCTCTGACGACGATCTTCCCGCGCATCCGCCCCAGAGGGCTCGCCCGTCCTACCGCACGGCCATCGACCCCCTACCCTCGACCATCGAGCTGCATTCGCGTCTGCGCCCTGCCAGCGCACGAGGAGTGGATCCTGCCCAATCCCCGCTCGGAATAAGCTACGAATGCGGCCACGTGCCGCGCGCGTGCCCCTTGTGTCCGGACTGGCGGCGGTACTGTTTTCACACCACCTCGGGGAGGCGGATAGTGTCCTATACCGGTGAAGCTTCAACAAGTCCTCGTTTGCTCTCATTCCAGTCCCCGGGATACAACACATATTGTTTCGGGTATTCCACCAGAGTGTTGCCAGTCCCACAAGCCTCATTTCCGACACGGCTCGATTGGATGAGGCACCCCCCGTGGCGCTGTTTGCCCATTGGATGGTATATGCTAGTTCATGGTGGGTTGCCTTATTGTCCCACACTTGCGCAGCTATTTGAGTGCAACAGTGTTGCTGTCGTTCTTAGGTGAAGATTTGTAACTCATCTGGTCTGAAGTATATACAGTAACTTCTTGATATGCTCCGAATGACGCATCGACACTGCAAGCATAACAGAGTATTTCCACCTGAAATTCTATGGAAATACTTGAAGGTATGCAGTCGCCTAGTACCTGGTCATGAATCTCCGGATGAGTGAGGGGCTTCATCCCACCAAATGGTTCTACAGCAATCTCAAAATCGATGTGCCGCTCCTGAGAAAATACCACGGGTGGCACCGGCTAGTGCCGGCGCCACGGCGGCTCTGGCGCCGCCCCCGTCAAGTCGGTGGCTACGCTTTTGTCGATATGACTGGATTCAGACGGTATGTTCATCCCTCTTGAAAGGAGCTAACTGTGACAATGTCCAGCCACACGCCAAACACCGAAATCGGCCGTGTTACCGGTATCAACGAGCGGACCGCCCAACAGATATCGAGCTTTATGGAGAGCAACAGTGGTAAAGTTGTGTGCGATCCACGAGACTCTGGAATGTGTCGTGGTCGAGAACGGCATCTTGATACTGCGGACATTATGGTGATGCACGATACCTTCAAACATGAACTTATGCTGATTTGCATCATGTTCAGACTTCAATTAGAAAAGGAATTTTGCTATTGTCACCATAAACTGTACAGAATTTCGTCGTCATTTTTGTCGCTGCTTTCCTCAATGAACGCGACTGAGGGCCCTTAGGAGATGACACGACCTAAGAGCATGCGCTCTATTTCTCCAAGTCCGTTTTCACATCGTCCAAACTACATGAACCCTGCCACTGAGTCAGCCCAGCCGTTCTGACGAACGGGCTGCATTTGTTTGTTTGTGAGTCTCGTTTAAAGTCTTTGCGGGCATGGCCCTATGTAGACGATAACTACGGTAGTCTGACTTCCAATGCAATGTATCTAGCAGTATTCGAAATGGAGACATCAGCTTGCCTGACGGCTCGCTGGGTACATAGTCATGAGGGTAGATCATGAGAGATAAGGGCGCGGTAATGCACAGTTCCAATCAGTATATGGTAGACTCGCTGATTGTGGCCTTGACAGTTGAGTGCTAGAGGTAGGGTTCTAATCCCACGTATGGGAAGCCAGCCAGTGGTCCCCCACTTGCCGTCCAAATTCCCCCTGCCCCTGGAGCTGCTTTTAGTGGAGATCAGAATGGCTGGGAACAAGCGTAGCGTAGAGCTAAGTACTCGAAATGGCAGAGTGCAAGCAAACTATATCGCGACGCCAGGATGAAACATTTTCTGATTCTGCTGCGGCACGCGCAAACGGCGCAGCTTGGCAAGGTGACAGAGGAGGTGACTTTTAGGCTTCATCACGCTGAAATGACGATCTCAACAACCACTGGTCAGATTTTCCTCGTTCGACCCGCAAAATCATAGCTATTGCAGTAAAACTACGCTGCACCAAGTGTGAAGTGAAGGGAGCCAGAATTGAGTTCTGCATGGCTGAGGTGCCGATTGGATGGTAAGGGATAGTATGCTTCCTCAGTGGTCATCCTCCCACCGGAGCTTTGATCCCCCGTGTTTAGCTGGTCATACCGCAGAGCCGTTTTATCGCCCACTCACTCTGCGCAGAT